GTATTTTCTCATGGCGGAACTGGGCACATTTGGTCTTTACAACATTCTTGTAACATTCCAGCAATGTCACAGTATTTTCCTGAAATTATTGCAGCAATATTTTGGCAATATTGCAGCAATTCCTGCATATTTTAGTCGTGTTTATGTAGTATTTAGGTAACTTTTAGAAATTTCCCTGCAGTTTTCCCACAATAATGAACTATTATTCCAGTATATTTTGTGAATATTCTATCAATATTCCCACAAAATTTCAGCTCTATTCTGGTAGTATTCCAATAATTCTTGGAATATTCCAGCAATATTCCCCAGATATTGAACTATTATCATAGCATATTCTGGAAATACTCAAACAATATTTCAACAGTATTCCAGAACATTCTAGAAATATGTCATCAATATTCCCTCGGTATTTCAGCAGAATTCCTGCAGTATCTTAATAAATTCTTGAAATATTCCAGTAATATTGTCCCAACATTTAAGCAACATTTCAGTAGTAATTGAGTAAGTCCAGGGAGCATTCCAGCTGTATTCCGTTTATATATTTCATCAATAATTCACCAAGTTTCCACTGATATTCTGCAACAGACTCCAGGAGTTTTCCACAGCAGCACAACTGTGTTGACTTTGTGATGGCAAAAAATAAAGTGTGAAAATTCAAGCATGTAAATTTGTTCAATTTACGCAAGGCACGATGGATATTCAGATAGAAAAATATGTTTTCAGGATAATAGTTTCAGAGTGGCAGAAAATAGAAAAGACGTTTTAAATATACAGCTTGTCATATGTCCTGCCACTGGTGGGGCTCATGACAGTTCAGTTTGTTACCAAGATGATCGTCATGCCGAAGACCTGGGTTTCGATTCCCCACATGGGTACAATGTGTGAAGCCCATTTCTGGTGTCCCCCGCCATGATATTGCCGGAATATTGCTAAAAGCAGCATAAAACCATACTCACTCACTCACTCACTCACTCACTCACTCACTCACTCACTCACTCACTCCTCACTCACTCACTCACTCACTCACTCACTCACTCACTCACTCACTCACTCACTCACTCACTCACTCACTCACTCACTCACTCACTCACTCACTCACTCACTCACTCACTCACTCACTCACTCACTCACTCACTCACTCACTCACTCACTCACTCACTACCAACATGCTGTTAACAAGACATGCTGGTTTGTCGTTCAAACTCAAAGTGATCAATATCATGCTGGTTTGTCGTTCAAACTCAAAATGATCAATATTCTTGAAAATACTTGATTTTTGGTTTCGATTTTGAGGTATCAAATCATTGTAAAACCCTCTGATTAAAACAGCTGGTTTGACCACCACATCGCTGTGGAACTAATACTAATGGAAAACTAATTCTTTCACTTGCCAAGTGGTTAAAGTGCTTGCTCTTTGTGCCGAAGACCTGGGTTTGATTCCCCACATGGGTACAATGTGTGAAGCCCATTTCTCGTGTCCCGGCCGTGATGTTGCTGGAATATTGCTTAAAGTAGTGTAAAACCACTACTCACTCACTCACTAACTCACTCACTCACTCACTCACTCACTTCTTTCTCAGTCATGGTAATAAATATATTGCACTGTGCAATTATAAGTTACAGAATACAGAGTTGCTATTACTATATTATTCAAAGTGCTTGTGAGAAAAATATTTGCATTGTTAAGTGTAATTCAAGTTTTAGGTACAACAGAGAACCTGTGATTTGCCACTTTCTGGAACCGACAGTGATGCAATGGAATCATAATGGTGACATTCGGTGCTAAACTAAACCTTGTGAGGCTGGCATCATTGTCTTCCCACTGCTGGCTTTAGTCATTGTCTTATATACAGTTGATCGAGGGGTAGAATAGGTCTTCAGCAACCCATGCTTGCGTTACAAAGCTGACTATGCTTGTCGTAAGAGGCTTACTAGCGGGATCGGGTGGTCAGGCTTGCTGAAGTTGACAAATATTCCCAATTGAGCAGATCGATGCTCATGCTGTTGCTCACTGGATACAGAGATTATTTAATATAGCTGGATAGAGTGCGTTGAAACTAAAATCCACTCTGCATATATGGCACTTCTCACTCACTCACTCCTCACTCACTCACTCACTCCACCACTCATATATACAAGTTAAACATAGAGGCGTTGAAATAACATGTCTGCTTATATGGCACCGAAATGTTTCTAGAGGTTTTTATCAGTGTTCCATAATTCACATCGACAACACACTAAAAGCTTTGGACTCAAACAGGGCTGCTTCCAAAAATATCTTCCCTAACACTATATCAAAGCAAACAACAAGAGTTTTCGTTTAATTTTGTCATGGTAGAATGGAGGCAAATTTCCATTCTGGTTTGAAATTTGAAGTCGTCTCAATTACCTCCTGTTTATACATTTGCTGTGGTGTTAAAGTGCTTGGAGCTTGGCTCTGAATTGAAATAAGAGGTGTGAAATCCACAGTGAAGCAACCTCAAATTTCAAAGGACAATGCTTTGTGTTCTAGCTGATGGCTGTAACAGTATGTTTATGATATTGAAGGGGCATTCTCCTCATCCTGGTGCTCAGTTTCAATTTGGGCCTGCAAACATAAGACAGATTGGTGCTGTCAGTAAAACTAGGGTAATTGTGAGTGAGTGAGTGGGTGAGAGGGCTTATGGTGGGTGAGTGAGTGAGTAAATTAATGATTAAAAATTAGGGTAATGAATGAATGAAGTAATGAATGAATGAATGAATGAATGAAAGTGTGACAACTTATTTAGGGCATCATTTTTTGTGTGTGTGTCTCATGTAGCCTCCATGAACATGGGTCAGTCGGTGGGGAAGAAAAACCAAACAAAAAATTAATAAAGACAAAATACAAAATTATCTGAATAATGTTTTTGATTCTCATTTATTGTAGTTCTTATTACAATTACTCGTGTTGTGTGGACTAGTATTTACAGAAAGTGTAACAACTGATAAACAGAATGATACTATTTACAGAAAGTAGTGACAACTGATAAACAGAATGATACTATTTACAGAAAGTAGTGACAACTGATAAACAGAATGATACTATTTACAGAAAGTAGTGACAACTGATAAACAGAATGATACTATTTACCGAAAGTAGTGACAACTGATAAACAGAATGATACTATTTACAGAAAGTAGTGACAACTGATAAACAGAATGATACTATTTACAGAAAGTAGTGACAACTGATAAACAGAATGATACTATTTACAGAAAGTAGTGACAACTGATAAACAGAATGATACTATTTACAGAAAGTGTAACAACTGATAAACAGAATGATACTATTTACAGAAAGTAGTGACAACTGATAAACAGAATGATACTATTTAAAGAAAGTGTAACAACTGATAAACAGAATGATACTATTTACAGAAAGTGTAACAACTGATAAACAGAATGATACTATTTACAGAAAGTAGTGACAACTGATAAACAGAATGATACTATTTAAAGAAAGTGTAACAACTGATAAACAGAATGATACTATTTACAGAAAGTGGTGACAAATGACAGACATACATAATCTTAACAGTAGATGGTGATTGAGAAGCATGAAACTGCATAAACATGTTATTTACAAGTGCTGAATAGTTTCTACATTTAGCAGTATTACAGAAGTCAGCATTTAAAATTCCCGCCTGCCTGACTGTCCAGAACGGTCTATTTTCATCCCGGACAGTCAAATTTCAAAACTAGCCTGGTCTGGTAGATAATTTACCCCTAAGAGTAAATATTTCATAATATCGGACAGGTTCTCTTGTTGTCAGTTTGAGGTGTTTAAGGTATTATGATAATTATGTTAAACTACTTACGATTGGACAGTTCGTGTTACGATATCCAATCACAATCATGTACTTTCTGTTTACCTAAACTCGGTGCATTGCCTGTTACTGCTATGTAGTTCATTGCGATGCCTACAAACAGTGAATGGAGCTTGTGCGAGTTGGAAATGGCAGTCACAGTTTTTAATTGTTGAAAACCGGACAGGCAAGTTTGTATCCAGACTGGTAATTTTTTAAAGTTACCAGTCCGGCTGTCTGGCTTGGAATTTTGGGAGTTTTAAACACTGCAGAAGTTCATGGATGACTTTGGTTCTCCTTTAAATAGCAATCCAGTGACATGTTTCACAAAGCTATGACTGTCATAGCACCTATACTTTAACTTATACTAGAACTTATACTTTAGAATTGGTCTTCAGTAACCCAAGCTCGTCATAATAATAGTAGCCTCGACTAACAGGATTGGGTGGTCGGGTTCGCTGACTTGGTTAACAAGTGTCATCGTATCCCAAGTGCATAGATCGATCCTCATGCTTTTGATCACTGGATTGTCTAGTCCAGGGTTGTCAGGCCTCGCTGATTTGATTGATGCAAGTCATAGTGTCCTAATTGTGTAGATCGATGCACATGCTGTCAATCAGCGGATTGTCTGGTCCAGACTCGATTATTTACAGACTGCTGCCATATAGCTTGAATATTGCTGAGTGCGGCATTAAACAACAAAGCAAACCAAACCAATAACTACACTTTAACATAGACATGGAAATACCACAGTTATAGTGCAATGTTTGCTGTGTGATCTGTAAGCTCATATGAATTATTCAAAATGTTTTATACAAATCGTATTAAATAGACCTGTGAAGATCCGGGTAGAATAGGTCTTCAGCAACCCATGCTTGCCATAAAAGGCTACTATGCTTGTCGTAAGAGGCTAAGGGGATAGGGTGGTCAGGCTCGCTGACTTGGTTGACACATGTCATCGGTTCCCAATTGAGCAGATTGATGTTCATGATGTTGATCACTGGATTCTCTGGTCCAGACTCGATTATTTACAGACCGCCGCCATATAGCTGGAATATTACTGAGTGCAGCGTAAAACTAAACTCACTCACTCACTTTAAATAAAATTAAATACTGTACTCTTGCACTTTTGTTCAATAACCTTATTCTCATACACTTCATGTTCTCTTTCAGATCCGTATGTGAAAGCAACCTTATCCTTTTCTGGGAAGAAGTTAAAGAAGAAGAAGACGTCAACAAAACACAACACAACAAATCCTGTTTGGAATGAAGCACTGGTGTTCAACCTTGGCAAGGAGTTCCTCAACAATATATGCTTGGAGCTTGCAGTATACCATGACAATAAGATCGGTAACGATGAACTGCTGGGTAAAACTCAGCTCGGTCCCACCTCCGAAGGAGACGAGATTGCTCACTGGAAGGACCTGATCAGTGCCAAGAGTGCAGTTGCTAGGTGGCACAACCTCAGCTGACGCCAGGACGACGACGAGATGACGGAACTAAACAAAACCATGTGTCTCAAATGGTTGTGAAGTGGGGATGACCAACGTCAATACTTCATGGGTTTAGGCTTTCGTTACATTCCTCCATCGCCTGTGACTACATCTGTGGTGGTGTTGCTAATTGAAACAACATCCTGGGGATGATGATCTGGTTTGGGGATGATCTGGTTCAGGGATGATGATCTGGTTCGAGGAAGAGCAAAGCCACCAGTAGGTGCTCCGGGTAATGAACATTTTGATAGGATCCCGCAGCTGGCAATATTTCTCATACAACATCTGCAGAGCTGTGGCTGAGTCACTCCACGCATTGATTTCAAGGGTTTGGCACTCACTGGAATCTGGTTTGGTGGACATGTGGTTCTTCTTGGCCACTATATATTCAGTATTGGGCAACTGTATTTCTTGCACACATTTCATGCAGAAAGTACAGCCCATTTGAATTTTAAAAGTTAAATGACTCATGTCACAGTTTAAGAAACACATGTGTCACAACTATGCTGCATTGTGTCCAGATGTATCCATGGCGATGTTTTTGTTTGTTACTTTGGTTTGGTTTGTTGTTTTAACTCCGCACTCAGCAATATTCCAGCTATATGGTGGTGGTCTGGAAATATTTGAGTCTGGACCAGAAAATCCAGTGATCAACAGCATGAGCATCAATCTACGCAATTGGGATATGATGACATGTGTCAACCAAGTCAGCGAGCCTGACCACCTGATCCTGTTAGTCGCCTCTTACGACAAGCATGGGTTACTGAAGACCAGTTCCATCCCGTGTCCTCACTGGTTGTTTGCTATTTTAAGTTGCACTCAGCAATATTCCAGCTATTTAACATCGATCTGTAAATAACCCGAACCAGATTCACATTATCAACTTTGATTTACACAATTGGAATATTTGTCAATTTGTCAACCACTTCAGCGAGTTTGATCACCAAATCATGTTCATTGGCCCTTACGACAAGGTTGGGTGGCTGAAGATCAATTGTTACCAGGATCTTCATGGATATCATGTGTGATGGAGGAATGAAGTGTATACAAAGCCAGGAAGTATTGACAATGTCTTGTACTATCAGAGGTACAAGGTGGCAGATTGGGACAAAATACATGCTGCTTAACCCTCCACAAGAGGCTACAGTGCGTTGACGAGTGTTTCACCCAGAATCCTTGTGGAACAGGGTCCTGTGTTTTGTGGGTATCTGCACACCGCACTCCACTCCAACCTTTACTCCAGTGATGACAATTGGGATGTCATGTCATTTCTTGACACTTGCTGTCATCAGATGTCGTGACGTCATCAATTCCTGCTGTGAAGTCATCGCCTTGTGCGTTCCTGTCATCTTGTCGTCAGTGTGGTTTCAATGAGAACCTTTCACTCCCTGTCTGATGAACGATGTGTTTGTGTGACCTTAACCTTGGAGGATAAATGACCTTGACCTCAGTTCTGTGACATTTGTCGTACAACACAACTGCAATGAACGAAGTCAGTGACAAATGGATTACAATTATTTAACACAATCTCTGGAAATGACCTTCACATTTCTCACATAATAATGATAATAATAATAATAAATACATTTATAAAGGTACGTTACACACCAAAATCAGGCCTTTATTTGAGGTGTCCAGCATTGAAATGAGGATTCTGATTCACAAAAGAGGAGAAACTATTGGAATATTATTATATTTAACATTGTAATTGCAGTTAAGACACTTATGACATTCCTCCATCATTGACCTTACAAAACATAATTTAACTGAATTCTGTTGGAAACAGATTTAGGATTTCTCTCTGTTTATGTTGCCTTTCATGATCTATCAGATTTCTACTTATTATTGCCATATTACTAAAGACCTCATATAGGCACTAACCGGTTTATATTCTGAAGTTGAGGAGGATCCTGGGTGTTTTTAGAAATATGGTTCTGGAAAGTGTTTGACATTTTTTGCCTCAGGTTTTACAATAACAAATATATACCTCCCATGCTGATGTTAGGAACAAAATTTGAATTGTTTGTATTCATTTTTAGGCTTCTTCTTTCCAAAGACACAATGGAATTCATTGAATGTTAAAGCAGTTGCCAAAAGATTTATGATGTTGCTTCTTAAAAATCCTTTCCCAACAGCTACATACTATAGACAGACACACTCAAACACACTACACAGATACATACACACAGCATATCTCACCATTGCCAGATTTAAGATCAAAGAAACAGAAGTGATTATTTCTTGGAGCATAAACACCTTTGCTTTCAGTGTATATCTAACATGCAGTGGCTGTGACACGTTTCTTTGTTAGTGATCACAGAAATACTTGTTCTTTGTCATTTTTTTGAGCATCAAAACCAAACCCTAAATGACACACTTACTCCTTCACATATGTGACAAGCCTGCACTCCATGTCATTACCACCTGGTGTGTTTTCTGTGATCTGTGTACGTGTGATCTGTGACAATGTTGAAGATTCTACATCCAGATGGCAAGACACAGGTGTCCATGTAGGTGTCGACCTCATGAAACATCCTAGGTGTCCTTGTAGGTGTCGACTCCATGGAACATCCTAGGTGTCCATGTAGGTGTCGACTCCATGGAACATCCTAGGTGTCCATGCAGATGTCGACTTCATGGAACATCCTAGGTGTCCATGTAGGTGTCAACTTCATGGAACATCCTAGGTGTCCATGCAGGTGTCGACTTCATGGAACATCCTAGGTGTCCATGTAGGTGTCGACTTCATGGAACATCCTAGGTGTCCATGCAGGTGTCGACTTCATGGAACATCCTAGGTGTCCATGCAGGTGTCGACTTGATGGAACATCCTTGTGTACTGTTCCAGTTCAAATTGTATTGTGATGCTGTGTCTGTGTTGGTGTATGTGTTGATGCTGAGAAATGGCTGCCCTTTGAAAGGGAGGTAACTCTCATTCTGTACATTACATTCAACAAATAATTTGAGTTACGAAAATTTGACTTATGGCGCTATTTTTTTAAAGACATTTTACCAAGTAACATGATTATTATTGTGTCTATTTTGTTTGTGATAACTTTATTTTCCATTTTCACCTTGCTTGTATTCTAACTCATCTACAGTCTGTGCTTTTGAATATTGTTCAGACTTTAATTTCAAAGAACTTAAGGTCATGAGTGTTTTTGGTCTTGTTTACTGATTAGATGACCTTAAAAATACATAATTTTCCCATGAAAACATAATCAGAATTACAAGCTTGGTTTTTATCACTCGCACAGCTCAGTCGGGTTGACAGTGAAAATCTCATTGAAATGGCACTGTCAGATTTTAGCATTATAATTGTATAAGGACCGATATGTTTTTAGGTTTTTATCAGCTACCGACCAAAATCAAACCCTTACAGGATTTTAAAAATCAATTACAAAGCATTTTGTACTTTCTTTTTCAACCGACCAAATTTTCAGTGTCCAATCCCATAAACCTAAATAATATGTCTGCCCCAGGAGATTTAAAACCAGTTGAGCAAGACCGTATCAATATGTATTGTGCTAGCTACAATGTACTGCATTTAATCTGTGCCTCAGTGTTTACAATAATTACAATTATGCTGAATTGTCCTGCAAATTCCTAGAGAGGAATGAAAATTAATGTTTACAAATTCAAAACTATCGAGGGAGTGATAAAATATTCTGAATACGAAGATAGAAAAAAAATAATGAATGATCAGTGAGAATGATTAGATTTGATTGAATACTCAATGGAATAATGTGTTATGTTTAACACTGATATGTTAAAAGGACTTTTGTGATCTAAAATTGGTTTTCATTTTATGAGGTGACCTTGAACTTTTGTGACCAGGACAAGATGTTGTAACAACAGTTTTGCAGTGTAAAACAGTTTTGACGCATTGATTCTTCACGTTTTCAATGTGATGTTTTGGAACTATGAAATTGACATGCAAAGTCAACTCAAGTAATTTATGCTGTAACTTCCGAAAGGCTACTTAACGACATATTTTTGGGCATTGTAGAAGATTATTCAATGTGAAAAAGATAAAGTGACCTTTCAGTATCAATTTCCAATTTTTGTATCTTGTGTCTAATTTTCAAGCCTTCTCTCAAAGCAGGTCCCACAAGGTTATAACAAGGATTAACAATCACATTTTGAATAAATCATGAGAACTTATTAGATTACAACTCGGATCTTAATAGATATTTCATCTCCTGACTTTCCATTATGCTAATAACAGAGCAATTGATTTCCATATGCTAAAAATAAATACAGTGACGAACTACTACTACTACTACTACTACTACTACTACTACTACTACTACTGACCTGTGAAGGTCTGGGTTAGAATGAACCTTCAGTAACCCATGCTTGTCGTAAGAGGCGACTAACGGGAACGGATGGTCAGGCTCGCTGACCTGGTTGACAACATATCATCCCATCCCAATTGCATAGATCGATGCTCATGCTGTTGATCACTGGATTGTCTGGTCCTGACTCGTTTATTTACAGACCGCCGCAATATAGCTGGAATATTGCTGAGTGTGGCGTGAAACTAAACTCACTCACTCACTACCACTACTACTACTACTACTAGTACTACTACTACTACTACTACTACTACTACTGCTGCTGCTGCTACTACCAACAAAACTTTGAATAAAATTGACAAAACCCTTTCATATTCAAAAGAAATCTCATCAACAAGCATAGTCAGTTCACATAGAGTTCACTTTGAGACCAAGCAGCAGTTACCAAACTTTGATCAGATGTCATTGAAACTAAATATGTTCAGTTATGTATACCGGGGCAATGATATGTTTCTTCTGAAAGTAATCTGAATACACACAAACAAATATGGACAGTCAGTTCTTGGTCTCGGTTTGGGTTGTTATAAAGATAGATTACAATGGCATTGGTGTTGGTCAAAGGTCCCTTATTGGACATTGGACCAATAGTCTATGATCTGGCACAGGGTAGGTTCCTGCAGACAGACAGAACGGTACCTCTGCTGGTCACCATTTGTATGTACCAGGTAAAAGACCTATTTGGACCAATAGTATATTGTTACAAGTAAAATACATATTTGGACCAATGGTCTGTGACCTGGCACAGGGTAGGTTCCTGTAGACCAGAGTACATCTGTTGGTCACCATTTGTATGTACCAGGTGAAATACCTATTTGGACCAATGGTCTGTGACCAGGCATAGGGTAGGTTCCAGTAGACAGAAGAGTACCTCTGCTGATCACATTTGTATGTATGTACCAGGTCAAAGACCTTTTGGACCAATGGCCTTCCACCTGGCACAGGGTAGGTTCCTGTAGACAGAAGAGTACGTGTTAGCCACCATTTGCATGTATGTACCAGGAGAACGGCCAGTTGGTACCAATGTTCATTGACTGGTAAAAGTGGTTTATGGCACGGCACAGTAGGTTCCAGTGGATAGAAGAATATCCAAGAAGCATTTCTGGAACACTTCTATTACAAGGACTCTATTAGCCTGAATCTTAACAAAAGAGACCCACCATTAAATAACCTGGGGAGTCTGATATTTTTGTACGAGATGGGATATTTGTACGGTCACTAGTTCAGGTCAGTCCTCACTTTTAAAGGAGCCGTTATTTAACAAACATGCTTTTAAAAAAGA